GGGTGGGGGGGGGGGGGGGGGGGGGGGGGGGGGGGGGGGGGGGGGGGGCATTCCCCACCATTTGGATTTAATCATGTGAGTGTATGACAGGACATTCAATCTTCAGGACGTTCAACTAGGGGCCCTAATAGCTGTTCTAGCTACACGTAGCTGTCTGTTACAAAATCTGTTGGAGTCGATCCTTATATATATATATATATATATATATATATATATATATATATATATATATATATATATATATATATATAATAGCAGTGAGCTAGACCATCTAAAACGGCTTCTGATAGATGTTACATTTTCGTAGGTAATCACTCAGGTAGATCAAATTTATGCTGTGCTTGGAGACAGTCTTCAGTGTATGAAATTATCTTATTGTGATGTTGGTCGAGTTTTCCCACGTGATAGGCCTATCTTCTCGTATGAAGTCACATGTGATGCTGACACGTGGGTCAGATAATGGCAAACACAGGTCTCCGAGAAGGGGGGGTGTCTCCCCTTTCTCCCCTTTGATAATCTTTTTATGGGCTATCACTCTAGATGGTTCGAATGCTTATCGGGCACGTACAGGTTTGATATCTTCAGTGTGTCTCACTAATATCGATCCTTTCCTAGATCGCTGCCTTTTACACAGTGATAAAACACCATGCTTGCTAAGTGTTTGCGACCCAATTTACTCAGGTGTGTGTGTGTGTGTGTGAGAGAGAGAGAGAGAGAGAGAGAGAGAGAGAGGGGGGAGGGGGGAGGGAGAGAGGAAGGAAGGAAGGAAGAAGAAGAAAGTGTGAGAGAGAGAAAAGAAAAAGACGACAGAGAGCGGAAGGAGAAGAGAGTGATATCCGCACTGTTGTTAGAGTAAAATCTTTACTTTCATATGACCCCCACCCACTCCTGGATGGATGCGATCTGAACATTAAATCGTCCAAGTAAAAGATAGGAATTAGTTGGCCCTCTGACAATGTGGTTGGGACTCGAAACGACCCATCATCTGATTGTTGACCCAATTTTGGCCACCCTGTCCCCATTTACTTAGTTTATTGCGTACGATGTACACATTTCAGTGATATTTCACCCTGCCCATGGTCAATTATTAATCAATCACGAAGAACTTTGATCGCACAGCAGTGTCGGCAGCGGTTGGTACAAGTATGTGCAATTTGAGGGAAACTGCGTGATTTGGATAGATGGGGGTGAGATGGGCGGGGTGGGGGCGGGGGCGGGGAGGGGCAAGAGGGTACCTTGGTTACTGGTACAGTACAGATGTATTTAAATTTGTTATTGGTACATGATAATAAAAATGACCAAGATATTTTTTTGCAAAATAGAGGTGGAGTTTGGTGTATCTTTACAGCACTCCTGCGGTCCACAGAGATCAGTATTTTTATCAGTTGTGGGAACGAAAATATCTGTCAAATTGTTTTGAAAAAGAGGGATGGTAGGGGTATAGGCTTGCCCCCCCCCCCCCCCCCCCCCCCCCCCCATTTCTACATGTATGTGATACCGGTCGGTGCAAGTTTGTGCTAACTGATGCAACAAGGGGGGGGGGGGGGGAGGGGGGAGGGGGTCATCAGGTTTAGACTAATGGCATAGGGGCCAGGGTGGTAAGAGCATTAAGAAACAATAAATGTCAGGTTATGCCCAAGACTTAAACGCGTTTGAACACCACTTGCTTTACTAGGAATTTAGAATTTGGTTTTGACTGAAAAAAAGAATTGAATTAAAATTATCGACCACTAAAACAAGCATTCATTCTAATCCTAGACCTATAGTCCTTTTTCATTTAAATATTTACCAGCTTTTCTTCTTTTTTAACAAACAGTTTCAGTTTAAGCTCCTACGTGCTACTTATAGCTCACATCCTCACGCCAAGTCCTTGGACTACAGCAAATGACAAATTACTTTATCAACAATTTTAGGGAAGGAGTGGACTGATGTCCTTCGAAATGAAACTGCTATAAAGCGTTATTGATACACATTTTGTACGTATTTCGCCATTATTAGCGTACACGCTGAAACAAATCTAACTGGCTGGCTGGGGAAGTGGTAGACAGCATTACGTTATGTTGAATCTTTCGCACAATTATTAAAGCCCCCTTTACACTGGACGGCGTCCTTTCTGCGTCCAGCAGTACGGCCCCATTTGAGAGTTAAAAAATTATAATGCTTTACGTCCCGACAACTGGCCGATCATTGAGCATTCATTCTGATACAAAATTAATGCTCGTGCCTCCTTATTAAGACCACAGCGATGCCAAATTTCATGGTCGCAGAAAGGACGCCGTCCAGTGTAAAGGGGGTATAAGCAATTATGTCCCATATAGTCTACACGTCTGTCGATCAAGAGTGCCATCATTTGAAAACGCGTTCGTAACGAATATAGCATTATGTGATGTAGAATATGGAGTGGATTATGCCACAGACCTTCAATACGTAGTTTTGAACTCAACATTGTGTATTTGAATATTGAAAACAAACTTACCACACAAACTCAACAAGACCAAAACAGCTATCGTCTTCGATTCCATCTTTTTGCTTTGATACAGTGACCCTGTTGACAAATATAGTCCTCTAGTATATTTCAAGAAAAACCAAACGTCGTTCGCAGCAGGTTTCTTTCGAGTCCACTGGTAGCTCTTCTACCGAGTTGTCACAAGTGAGGAGAACAGGGGGACACGTTCAGCCGGAGCCCTTTAGTCGAGACGACCTGCTTTGATAAGACGACATCACGGGACAACTTGTCATATCTGAGATAGGAGTGACCTCGATCAAGGTCAAAAGGGATGGTTTAGACTGTGGGTGATAGTGGACTGGAAGTAAAGAGTGCACGCAGCGGTTTTATGAAGCCCACGGGGAAATTGAATTTTATATTTACCATGCTTTTACCCTTAATAAATAAAGTTTGATAAATAAATGAGCAGATGAAGGAGGACGCCTACTTGTGACGATACATTTATTCTACGTGTTATGAACAGGACATCTTCATTGTCGCGAAACAAGAAGCCTTTAACACGAAAATTATACTTTAGGATAACGACATAAATCAAGTTTATAATGGAGAAAATGTAAAATAACGTGGGAGGTTTGAAATGCTGATAGCTGTTAAAGATTGCAGAAAATGTAAAATAACACGGAAGGTTTGAAATGCTGATAATTAACCCTTATGGAATGGAGAAAATGTAAAGTAACACGGAAGATTTAAAATGCATAATAATAATAGTAGTTGCCTTACGCACCTACATGTACATGTCTCTCTGTAAACGCTGGTGAAATTATCAAATAATTGCCATCTGTCTCGGGTTATCGATTGTTAGTTTCTTCACAATGACGGTTTTCTGATTATTTTACTGATAAAGAGATTATATTGACAAATCATTTAACAGATAAAAACATGTTGTTCTTTTGTGTCATTGGATAACGGTTAACTGATAGTGTTGCACTAATAGCAACATTGATTGTACTCAAGTCACTTAAACCGTAATATACATGTATGTCGACTGAGCTTTGAGACAGGCAGTTTGGTTTTTCATTCATGATAGATGAATAAGAAGCATGTAAATGAACAGTTCTAGTCTTGTACTGTTTTCCACGGGTAATTAAATAGACTAGTTTTGAAACGTTTAGATAGGGTCCTATCGACTACTTTAAAATATATAATTAACGTATAACGAATCTTGCCTACATATTAAAACACTCTTATATTCTGTAAACAATTAATTATATCTTTTCTCAGTTATGTACTTTCTAATTTTTGCCTCCATCCTGTACATGCAGCAGGGGTGGGAGGTCGAAGGCGGGAGGTGATGAAAACTCCAAACCCAAAACCCTTCACATCCCGCACCCCCCCCTCTCCCCCCCCTCCCGTCCACCACCACATACACAATAGGGCATGAAACATCAGAGTCAGCACATTACTGGTTAGAAAACAACTAAAGCCCCCTTTACACTGGACGGCGTCCTTTCTGCGTCTTGTGATACGACCCCGTTTGATAGTAAAAAAACAAAAACAAACTATATTTTATGTGCCGACAAGTGGCTGATCATTGAGCATTCATTCTTCAACCAAACAGATGCTTGTGCCTCCTTTCTACGACCACAGCGATGCCACTTTCTTGGTCGCACAAAAGTCGCAGAAAGGACGTCGTCCAGTGTAAACGGGGCTTAAGAAAGCCACAAATGCAACGCATGAATTTGAAAGAAAAAAAAGGAACAGCTTCCGACGCCGGGAATCGAACCCGGGCCACCTGGGTGAGAGCCAGATATCCTAGCCACTAGACCACGTCGGATGTTGCGTGCTTAAGCGTAATTTTAGCCCAACTGGAAACAGGTAAGACTGCCAGGTGTTATTTCGTTTATCTAGGCTCATATCAAGTTAATTGTAATTTGTTAAATCTGGACGAGCATTCTATTTTACAAAATGCATCAATCTTCGATACAACTTATTGAATTTTCACATTTTAGAAGTAGTATTTTCAATAGTAGGGGCCTATGTTGCGTGTGTTTGTGTATGGGATGTTAATTGTAAAACATATAAGATTGACAGGTGTTATTTCGTTTATCTTGATCGGCTTATGCTTGTAATTATTTATATCACCATGAAAGGTGCAGCCCCTTTACACCTGACGTCGTCCTTTCTGCGTCCCGTAGTACGGCCCTGTTTGAGAATTAAAAAAAAAATACTTAACGTGCTGACCACTGAGCATACAATGATACATTTTGTTCCTCCCGTTAAAGACCACAGTGAGGCTCGAGTTTCATGGTCGCACAAAAGACGCAGAAAGGACGTTGTCCAGTGTAAAGGGGGTTTAACCAACCAAAATGATGACAGGGTCATTATCTTCCTTGTCAAGAAACTTGCTATCTGTGGCAAGGTCACACAATAGAGGAGTTGGCTGCCTTCTCTGCAACACTAACATTCACATCTTGTAACGATGTTTTAATAATAACAATAACAAAAGAAAAAAACTAAATGTCAAGAAGAAAGGCAAAAATTAATCCGTCATTCTTTTGAAAGGAAAGCACAATAGCGATCGATCTTTTTAACTCATGAAGACCTTTGAAACATTTTACAAAAAACAAAATTTTTGCTACTATTAAAGATTCCTGTCCAATCAAAACATCGAACGCCCCCCCCCCCCCCCCCCCACACACACACACACACAAAAGAAAAAGGGCCAGCTGTTGGTTAAACCTAGGGAATGAGAATGGCTGACTTGCAACTGTAGTGATGATTGGCAGCTAGCGACAGGTCAACTGATTCCACCGACGTTCGGCATTCTTTTTCATCTAAACCTAAGGTGCAATGAGCGAAGAGCTCTTATTACGCACTGATTAAACATATCCTATTTGTTATCACCTGTGTCTCCAAAACATGAAATACACGACAAAGCGACATGTCGAATTGGGCTAAGACCTACCTAAAACAGTGAGAGTAAATAAAAATAAAGAGGACAATCTTGATTTGCTCAAGGGGCTTAACTCTTGTAAATCAACAGGATATTGGTAAAACTTGGGCTGTGAAAATATAGTGCACTGATTGGCTGAGAGTTGCTGGAGATTGACAGCCAGCCACAGGTCAGCAGATTCGGAGGCGCTGGTTTTCAGTTAAAACCAGGTGCGATGTCTGCAAAGCTTATTTTTGCGCACTAATTAAAATATATCATATTTCTTATCACCTGTGTCTCCAAAACATGCAATACACGACAAAGCCGAATTTCCTTGAGCTAATTAAGACATACCCAAACCAGTGAGAGTAAATAAAAATAATGAAGACAATCATGATTTGCTCAAAGGGCTTTACTCTTGTAAAACAATGTGCTTTTGGTAAAATTTGGGCTCTGAAATTATCATACAGTGACTGGTTGAAAGTGATTGACAGCCAGCAACAGGTCAGGGGATTCCATCGACGTTAGGAGGAAGCGTTGGTTTTCCGGTAAAACCAAGTTGAGATAGGCCTATATGCAGAGCTTTATTTTTGCGTACTGATTAAAATATACCATATTCCTCTCCAAAACAAATGAAATTAACGAGCAGAAATACGATTACTGAGTCGACATACAATACACCAACTAATGACGGTAACAAGTAACTTGGTATTCCACCTTGCGATGTAAAACGTGATCATTATCTACTAATTACCGAACATAACCCTACCGTGTTAGCAATAAAATATCGAGAATTGCAGCTTGTTGTCTTGAATTTCTGTACAGAAATATCATGGCTTGCAGGGGTCTTTATTCCGCAAAATTCTTTAAATTTGCTTATGTTATTGTAGTAATATGATTACAGAAACATTTGTCCCGTGCGAGAGACATTTTTTTTTTTTTGAGGGGATGAAAAGTGGAGTGAGAGCAATTCTTTTTATTTACTTAATCTTGTTTTACTATTCAGTGCAATGATATGTTAACAATGACGTTCCACCAGGACAAAAAAAAAAAAACGTTGTTACGATATATTTATACGTTATCTTGCTAACAACAACAACAATCAATGCTACAATAAGTCTTATGGCTTCGACATATCTAAATGAGTTAGATGGTTTAGAGTTGCCAGCCGGTAAAAGGTCAACTGATTCCACTGACGTCTGTTTTTCCTCTCAAACCAAAGTGAAATGATTATAGCTCTTATTACACACTCATTAAAAATATATCATATATCTCATAACCTGTGTCTCCAAAACATGAAATACCCTAGGAAACCGAAGGTCCTTGGGCTAAGACATATACCTAAACTAGTGAGAGTAAAAATGATCAAGACAATTATGATTTGCTCAAGGGGCTAATAATAATAATAATAATAATAAATATTACGTTCGTGGACAGTGATTATCTTAAAAAAAAAGGATGCTCATTTCTGATGACGTCATATGAGCGTTTCTGGGGAGAAAGGGCTACTTTTGGTTTCTTAATTTTCTCATCTAACCACACTATTGTCAGCTTGTATTAGATAATGTCTGTGGTAAATTGGAACTGTTAATGGTACTATGATTATGACAGTTGTTATCTACTCCCAGAAATGATTATTGAGTAATAGCTGAAAAGTGAATACAATGGCAACTTTGCACACGGACAGCTCAACAAAATAAAACAAATTTGCATTCATTCGAAAAACATGCCAAAAAAACAAATCAAAAAAAAAAAAAACACAAACAAAAAAACAAAAAAAGAACAAGACACGCCAAAAATAACTTAAAAGTACAAATCGATACTGATTTTTAAAAGGAACCCGCCTTATTAACATAAAATGTCCCACAGCAAATCTAAAGTAAAATAAAAAAAAGTTTGGCACTTAAGTTACAAAAAAGGTCAAACCATTTTCCATTTTTTGTGTTATCAGGGATTGCATATTATAGCACAATGTATGCTGAAAAAAAGAAACAAAAAATTGAATAACATCGAATATCGAACTGATCTTCGAATTCAGCGCGCGCAAAGTTTAGTAACATTTGTCAGTCTTGTAAGTTTCTACCTATTTTCCACTTAATGTATTAATTATCACTGAAAAAAAATACACGGCAATGACGGCAACGACAGTCATGACTGATCGCTATATTGTGTCCGTAAATAAAAACACAAAAATCAATAACTTTTGGACAATATTATCTCATTATATCGGTTTTAAAACAAACTGTATTTAACCTTAAAAAAAAACATTCATAAAATTCCAAGCAAAACAAAAATATGGGTTTGCAGTCCAAGGGTAAAAGTCAGTGATCAGAATGTATACTAACAGACACATACAGTGTCTGCATTTAAC